AAACATTTGAAAAATGATTTTGGTCAAACGCGGGCAAATAAATGTAAAAAAATGTCAAATAAAATGTATGAAATCTGTGTTGGAAGACCAAAAATGTCCACCCTGTTAAAGCCAAATAAAAAACATTTTAAAAGATTTAAGATGTTAAAGTTTGGGCATTGTGTACATTATCTTACAAAACTGACACTGGCCCCTTTGACCATTTAAAATCTTATCTGGTTATTATATATAAATTGTGTTTTCAGATACAAATGTATAAAAGGCATTCTCTAATATTTTTCAACTATTTTTTCTATTAAATTTAATTTAGCAATTATAATAAAGTTTTTAGTGTATGTTCCTCAAGTTATTGTCCACTCTGTTATGATGACTACTGTGCATTCAAATGAAAGCTGGAAAATTTAAAATCCAGTTTCCAATCTGATATGGTCAACCTCAATATGTCCACTCTGGTATGGGTAATTATGAAAAAAAAAAAAAAAAAGTATAATTTTGCAATATTTCTAGGTCATTCTGTAGTTAACGGTCTAAAAATCTTGCTTATTAAACCTCTTTAAACTTTTCAGTATTATGCTAGTAACATACACTGTATAATTTTTATTTATTTTTTTTACTTTATTTACAGATTTAAATTAGATTTTGAACTCCAGAATTACTGTGCAGACTGTATAGATTTCTGTGCATGCAAACCTTAAATTCCTTTGACTTTTTATCCATTAAGCTTAGCTTGCATTTCAGAGACTGGTAATTTTGGTCAAATGGATGTGGCACTGTGTCCTTCATTTCTTCTTTGGCTTTCTCGGATTCAGCTTTAAGACTCTGGGCAATCTCGATGTCTGCAAGAACCTAAAAGGTACAAGCATAATAGGGAAGTTTGGATTTTGGTAATTCTTATCCAGATGATAAAGCACTTTACATTGGTCATTCATCTAACACACAAGATCAATGTGTTTTTGTAGCCAATACTTTTTTGGGCTATGTATGATTTGACTAACAAATAACCTTCTCTGACTAATACAGTAGAAAGTGTGACAACTAGGCACGATTTAATAAAACTCGGTACACAGTAACTGTTGTGATTCTCACCAAAAGCATCTCCTTCTTGCCCTGAAGGACAGAATCATCAGAGATGATAGGTGGTCTGTTGCGGCCAAAGTTATGAGGAATTATGGTGAAGAATTTGCTGGTGAGTTCTTCTAACTTGTTCCGTTCCCCCTTCTTTATTGCAGCTTCAATCAGCTCCAAAGCCTCAAAGCCTTTGGCTATCTGCTGCTTGCTGAGTTTCCCCAAGGGCATCTTCTTAATATCTGACAGAGAAATATGCGACACATGAAACTCCTCCACAAAAATGAATCTTATTTAATGTTACAGATAGGACTCAGAAAAGTGGTAGACAGGACTCAAAAAGGCAGCAAAGTCACATCTTCAGTTCACAAACACTGCCAAAACTCCCCTGTGGCCTTCAGAAACATGTAAAATGTGAGTGATCGGCAGTCTTCATAGAGTTTTAAAAGATATAACTTATTTTTCTCAGCTATCAAAAAGAACCACAATAACAAGGCTATTGAAAGGAACAGAAGAACTGGGACACAATAATTCAAAACTAACCCAAGTTCATGCTGGTCATGGCTTCTTTGAACATGTCGTTGTTGAAGATGAATCGGATGAGTCTTTGAGTTGCCTCATCCAATGTACAAGGCAGAACATGTTGTTCAGTTTTCACTCCACCATCTCCACCATCTACAGTGTCCACCTGAATGAAACAAAATATTAGAAATGGTGTTATTCCATTTCGGTGTTATTCTTTTGAAAACTTCAAGGACTTCAAAGACAAACAGGCTAAATACCTTCACTTCTGCATCCTGGTCCCCATCTACCTCTATCAATGTGTATTTTCCAGAATGCGAGACAAAGTTTTCACGATCGCTCCAATTATTCTTGGTCTTATCTTTGAATTTCTTTTCAAAATTCTTAATGGCTGCATCAACGGTAGATGGACCGGCTAAATTGTTCTGGCCTGACTCTCCCTGAAAACAGTGAAAGACAGCAAATCTATTAGATCTATTAGATGCTACAAGTAGGCCTGTCACGATAACAACTTTTTGTTGTGCGATATATTATAATTGCGATAAAGTGATATTATTGTCATTTTAAAGACCATTTTATGTCACTGAATATATAATCATAATGTAACAGCATAATAATGCAAGAAGGCCTACACACTTCCAAATGACAACACACTTTTAATTTTTAAGAATATTTAGATCATGGAAATTAAGTATCAAAATATTAGAAACCTTAAAAAACTTGAATAAATAGTAAATAAACATTTTCTAACAAAAAGTGCAAAGTAACAAGTAATAATAATAATAATTTATGCATTTAGCATATTTTTTTTTAAGTAGAAAAAAAGAAAAATGCACAAAGAACTTGTACGGAGATTTTTCCATCTACAGATTTTTTTCCAGACCTTCTTTTCTCTGTAAATTAAGGGTGCACACTATTGCTGAAAAACACAATCACTACTCAGCAGTCAGATGTCCGTTAAGTAAATATAATGGGCGATATATTGCGTCACCAAAAATGATTGAGGTCACGTACATATATTGCGCGATAAGTCGATATATTGATTATTGCGACAGGCCTAGTTACAAGAGCATTTTTGCACATCATGTTGTGATATATTTGATTGACAAAAGAAAGAAACTAACTTACCACTCTGCCCCATCTTGTCCAACAATAGTACTTTCCTCCAGACACTAAGACTTGGATTACATAGAATTTGTTGTTGTTGTTTCCAATGTTGGTTTGGTTTAGCATACAGTCATAATCTTCGTGAACCTGTATGTTTAGACCAAAACTTTTCTGTGATTCAGGGCAAGCAGTAATTTGAGTAATCAACGTACATTTTAAAAATGGAAATCATAAATAATTCTTCATTGCAATATCACAACTAAACATTTCACAGAATATTTTGTTGTTATGCACTTAACTTCCATTATGAACAACTGGGAATTTAAAAGGAAATATTCCAAATATTTATTTCTTTATTTCTGTTTCTAATCAACAACAACCAGTTTGATGAAAAGGTATGATATCACATTTCAAAAGATTGCTAACAATAAATCAACGCAGTACAGTAATGGCCAAAAGTTGTGGCAGTGCCATAAATTTTGTGTTTTTTCAAAGTCTGCTGCTTCAGTATTTGTAGATTATTTTTCCACATGTTTCAATGGTATACTGAAAAGAACCTGTATGTTTAGACCAAAACTTTTCTGTGATTCAGGGCAAGCAGTAATTTGAGTAATAATTTGCATTACTTTTTGCATTGCTAATTTGCAATTTAATTACTTGTTCAGTCTCACCTCAGCATTTGATAGATGACAGAAGCTGTCTGGGTTCCTCGTGCCCTTCACCTGTGGCACTGTTGCCTTCAGAGCCTCTTTGGCAGAGGCGAACTTGTCCTTCGGGGGAGCTTCAGGCTCCACCTTTACCTTCTTCCCTCCAGCTTTGGTGCTTGATTTTGCCCTTCTCTTAGGTGCCATCCTCTTTCCTCTCTCAGTTCATAATTAATCATAAAGTTTATATTTGGTAAGTTCAGTGTCATTTCCTGATTGATATTA